GTTTTGGCAAGCATCCGGAGAAAACCTTCAAATTTTGTATCGACTCAAAACAGCGACGCATTTTGAACGACTTGAAGATTTAGAAGGAAGCGAGAAAGTTTCTCATGCCGTGAAATTTATAGAATTATGTGTTGAAGTGAGTTTACCAAATTTTGCTTGATGCTGTTATGTCTATCTATTGCAACAATTGTTTTAGTCCCGTCTATTACTTGTCGCTGGTGTCTCAGGGCAAGTCACCTTATTCCGCTTCACAAAAGCTGAGAGTATGAACACGATTGCGGTGAGCAAATTTATGTCTTAAAATGACCTAGAATGCATAAACAGTCATAGTTGTAGAACAGACATATTTTCTTTTGATTTTCAAGCTGGACTTACAGATACTAGTCGTCTACCTTTTTATCAAATTTCAATTCGTTGTCCCTTTTTTATGTTGCTTTTTCGAAATTTATAGTAGATTTTGTGCGATGTAAAAAAGAAATATGTATATGTACAGTTTTTTTTGATTTTGTGTTTCCTAAATTTCAGTTTTAAGCGTTTAAAATGACAAGAAAAGGAAACTGGGATGGTGGAACATTTTTCCTAATTCACACTCCATTTTTTTCCTGTTTAGGTTGTTCAGATACCATTACTCGGAGCATCTCCATCAAATAATCTTGAAGAACGTGCAGCACCTCCTCCAGCGCCGAAGGAGATGCGTAGACAAAAGAAGGTATAGTTGAAAAGCTTTGAGTTTTACATGTGAAATGACCTACGGCTTCGTTGGCTGGCTGTTCAGTTATCTGATTTTGAATGTGCTTAACTGTATAATTCCCTAAAGCTAAATAACTTTCCAGCTTCTTCGACATCTTGGAAGTCATCGTTTCTCGCTGTCTCTCTCCCTTTCACGTCCCTATCTCGAGTTATCTAGAGCTTTTGTTTTCTTCCTACTTAACCTATGTTTTTTTCTTTTATTCTGTCATGCATCCATCCCTGAGCTATGCAGCTTGCTTTTCTCAGTAATCGCTAAAATCTATTAATAGCTGACTACTGCAGGTGCTCAGCAGAGATTCCACGCACAGTCCGGATACGAGCGATGCTTCTGGAGATGAACAAATTGTACCCTTTAAAGTGCGAGGTGCACCAGTCAAGCGAGCTGCGGGATATCAGGTATTGATATCAAAGAAAAGTGAAATAACCTCTCTTTTTGAGCCTTTGAGCCTCGCACGGTTGTTTATACGATATCTGCTCACTTTGGAAAATCAGGCTCAAGACCTGGTGTGAATGTTAGCGATTGTCATGAATTGCGTTAAAGCTCATTTCAGTTATATTTTCTTTCTTCTTCTTTTTTTGAAGCCAAAAAATCCTTTTATCTTCTTATGCGACATTAGGCATCTATGGATTTTCTGATTATAAAATCGCTGAAGTTACCGTTGAACAGTTTCGTTCTCGCTTGTGAGTCCAACAACATTAGGGAGTTTTTGCAATTTTGAATGCTGCAGCTCTTGGCGAATTGGAGTTAGGGGCGAACCCATTATGACGTTTTATTTTTCATATCGTATCATGTTCAAACTTATCCCTCATAATACTGTCCTGTAGTTTGAATGCTTTAAAATTGTATAATAGCCGTCCAAACTTTTCAGCCTGAACTGGCCTGCCTTGTTCCATGGCCATCCACTTCCCAAGCCGATTCAGTAACCTGTATCGCTCTGAATTCAGCTTT